CTTTGTTTACCCTTTGTCACTTGTCTTTCTTGAAGTTGCCTAAGCACTCTGCTTACATTGACTTCATCTCAAGACTGGAGTAGGGGCCTACGGTATTTGAGAATCTGGTGGTTCCCCAGGTTTGTGTATTGATTTGAACAAGAGTTCTTTGATGCCTGGTTTGCAATATTAATTATCTTTTCAAATGTGGGAGAACCATTTGTCCTACTGATGGTGGTTGCTGGTATCACCCTGCCCTTATAGCTCATTCCTTCTCTTATTTATGCCTCACACTATTACTTCCGAATGGGTAGAAGTAATTTTACTTCCTTCCTCCTACTCTCTTAGTATTTCATCTAAGCCCGTTGCTTCGGCTGTCTCTGACAAATCTGATTTTTAAATCAAGTGGGCGAAAAGGAGTTTCTTACTTTTAGTCATTAATTGTAATTATCTTAATTTTCAACAACAAATTTTCTCAGTCTCCGGTTCTGTTTATGTAAGCAACATTTACCAGCTGTTTTTGCCGACCTGCTATTAGCTAAACTTTTCACTTAATCATACTCATGAACCTTACAGGTTCATTTCTTATCTCAATTTCTTTGAGTGAAGGATAAAACTCTATTTCTCGATTTGTTTACTTTTCCAAAATCAGCAAAGCTATTTCCACCTTTTGACAGGCAGTCGTAAATCAGTTTCTTGTTTCTGCCTTCATCTTCAGAATTACGAAATACAGTGAAATCTTGACCTACGAATTTAATCCATTCCAGGAGTGGATTTGTAACTAGAAATTTTGTTATATCAAAACAATTTTCCCCCTTTAAATTTGTTTCAAGCCCCAAAAATATTGATATAAAAATCGTATTTTATGCAAAATTAAAGTACATTTTTAAAGATTATACACAAATAATGTAAATAAATATATCACAGTGACTTCTTTCCAGGCTTTATCAATGAGATTTAAGCAATTTAGGATATTGAACTGATCCTTCCAAAATTCTCTTAGGGTTAGGTTTGTATTTTTGGTCACTTCAAAACACCTCTGAAACAAGACAGCTTTCTCAGAGCTCGGAGCCCTTCCATGTCTCACTACACTGTGGATGACAGTTCTTTTTTTTTAAATTTTTCAAACCATCCTCAGCTTACCTTAAATGCATTTTCATCTTCAGAAGACGTACCTGGTATTTTTCTGATAAGATCCACATACAGTGCCCTTGCCTTTTGTATATGTAATATCTTCAGACACAGAATCACCTCATAGTTGCCTCTCATTCATCCACACCAATAAAAGCTTCTCAACAACTTCTAGGGCTTTTGGATGATGCTTGGTAATTATGTTAACTCCCTTGCCTACATCAAGCGTTTCTCCAAGCTCCCCCCATCTTGTTCTTTAGGATAGTGCAGATTATTGATGCTGAATGTCCATATAGATTGGCAAGGTCAGAAACATGGATAGCTTCTTCATGCTCTCCTTCATTTGTACAGATATTTTTCCCTCTTCTTAGTAGCAACCAGCTTCTTGGATGACATCATAGGCTACAAAAATTATAAAAAAAATACCAACTAAAATTTAAAACTTATTGTATATGTACAGTAATATTTATAGTAACACATTAAACTGTACAGTACAGTAACTGTACGAAAAAATGTAAAAGAACAAACTGCAGTGATTAAATATACTGTACAAATCAATCTACGCTGGTTGTGTAGTTTATTTTACTGCGTAGTTTACATGCTATACCTGCATTTAATACATTTTATTTTACTCTGATTAAACATTATACATTCTGTTTATATTTTTGTACTATATTGATATCAATTTAAAATTCAATGATTATACACTGTATATTAGAACACACTTTACATACAGATTAAATGAAACTAACTCAGCATTGTTACATTTTATCTAAATTTAATTTAATAAATTTTAATAAAATTTATATGTTACTCTACTGTACAGTAATGTATTCATTACTGTACATAAATTTTTACACGTTAATTTTTTTTTTTTACACTTACACTAATATAATCACAAATCTGTGTACACTATAAATGTTTATTCTCCAAGGTAACAAATAAGATTGAGCAGGATGATGCAAAGCTCATAGCATCCCACTACATCTAGTGTGATGGAACTGTATAGAAATATGTACTGTATAGTAATATAATACAGTACTGTATATAGACAGTCATTTAAGTGCCATATGTGATACATGCTTGGGTGTTCATGTATCTTTCGATATATGACTGATGAGGCAGAAGATTTTTCCCACTGTAGGTTGCCATTTCTTTCTGTGATAGACTGGTTGCCAATCAAGGCTAAAGAACCCAGTCCTACTATTCAACCCATATCTGGGAGGAGACGAGATGAATTCATACCTTTCCCAAGGGTATTTGTGTGTAAGTGAATTTGTGTGTAAATGAATTTCTGAGTTCTCACTTTGAGCCAATATCCATTACACCACAAGTACACTGTATATAAAATATAAGAATAAAAAATACAGTATAAAAAAAGTATTGAAATATAGTATAATACTACAGTATTATATATAAAATATACAAAACATGAAATTTGAAATACAGTATACTTAGATAAGATTAAAAGTATTTACGGTACATTTATATTGAATATTTAGTTTGAAATGCAGTGGTGGCAAGGTTTTTGTAAGTGGAGGTGTTCGTAAGTTGAGGTTCCACTATCTAACTCAACTGACCCCTTCTGTCTGATCATCATGAGAAATTTTTCAATTTCCATGTTATTCTGTTTTACTTTTTTCAAAAATTCTCCTGTCTGTCTGTTTCTGTACTTTTTAACCCTGTTTATATATTTTAAATTAACCTTTTCCTTTTACTAGTGTCATATAGCAACAAAAATTCAAAATTGTGCATTCATGCATATGTACTTAAGAGATTGTAAAACAAACTTAGGTGTAGGGAGTTCACATGCGCGCACACACACACAAAAAAAAATTCCAGACTAATCTTTTTAAAATCTGAATTTTGAAAATAAATACTGAAAATGTCATTCATCTTCTATTTTAATAGAATATCTCTATCTATAAAAGGCAGGATGTGTGTGTGTAATGAATGCATGGCTGCAATTTTTGATGGATTTGCACCAAAATTTACATGCACATGCTCCAAGTTAGCGGGAAGGCCAAGACTGACTTTGCATTTCCCAACTCCCATCGATAGTGGAAATAATTGATTTTTTTTCATGCTTCTACGACAGTTTTCATGTCGTTTGTGGCCATTTTCTACTGGCCAGACTGAGAGCCTATAGCTGGCTGCCACGAATAGACAGGAAGATTCTATTGGCCAGCGTGAGAGCCAACAGCTGACTGACACGAATCAATAGCTGCATTCGTCACAAGTGGGAAAAATTTAAATCTGCATGGCACTTTACTCCAATTGGCTCATTCACTTGCATAAACTCAACATTGATTCTGATTCCGCAGAACTGGGTTGGGTATGAAAAAGTATGTTGTTGTTAACATTTTTTCATTCAGTTTTTCCAGTTACGAGTCCTTTTTTTAAAGCTGATCATTTTGTATTCATTTTGTTCAGTTCTTTTTTCGTAACAGATTTAATGTTTAGTATAGAGCTTAGAAAAAATTTGTAGTGTGAGATAGGCAAGAAGTAAGGCATGTAGCAACGTCAGCACAGCAAAGGGCACTCCTTTAAAGGCAAGGAGGGGCAAAAATATTTTAAGTCAAGTGATAGCGATTGCTGTATGAGTCGTACGATTTTTGAATCAAGCACTGGCAACGCCGGGCCATGCTGCTAGTAGTGATTATTTTTCAAATGAAAATAGGATTCATTGAAACATTTTGGTATTTTTTCTTTCAAGCTTTTAAACAAAATTATAAGTTTAAATTCAAATATTACAATAATAAGAATTTATTGTTGTGACACGATAACTAGGCGTCTATTAAAGTTGATTTGTAAAATATGTATTTTATTTTAATAAATTAAGAATAGAAAACGGTTAAGAATAGAAAAATAGTTTAAAAACATGTGTTTCGTTTAACAAAAGTACTAAGGAAAAAAGAAAAGGAAAAAATAAATAAATAAACGCTTTTTTTTATAAGTAAATTTGTGGAAGAAAAAGGGCATCAGATTACTGTTAAATCCTACCAGTCATCCAATAAAATATTTGACTAAGTGATTAGATGTGATAAAAGATAAACGTTTAGGAAATAGATTTTTAAATGACCAGGTCAAAAAACCGTCTTTACTGTATCTCGACAACACATTAAGGAAATAAAGAAAAGATAACTGAATTTTCCCTTTCTCCAGGCAATAAAAAAAGAAAAGGGCTATAAAAACATCCGGCGGCCTTCACACGAAGATTTGTTAAGATAAAAGATTTAAAAATCCTGGAAAATACATTGTGGGAGGCCGATTACAGACAAGGATTTTTACACATCAAAGCAAAATTTAAGTACCTTGAAATTTTTAACTTACAGTCGCCAATGCTTATCTTTTGTTTTCACCCGGTGGTCTAGGGACTTCCGATTAGTTCAATATAAATACGAAAGTGGTTTTTCCGGGCCGGGCAGTTCAGCCGGGTGTGTGTTTGAAGTAACCACGTGTGTCAGACACACCGAAGAAGTGAAACTCCGTTCGTCTGAGTCGGTCGGTTCGGCATTTGATCTCCATTAGTTAGAGCTGAGTGTCACATCGCCTACCCCAACAGCAAGACTAAGTCTGAACAAAATAAAGCTTGATTAAACTCATCTAAGTTGTGGAAGTTCGTTCCTTCAATGCTTTATCTTGTGCCCCAGCTTGAGACTTGACTTTTCAACCAACCCCCGGTAAAATCACAGCGTGGAGAACGGCCGCCGGAGAAATTGTACGGAGCTCACAAGGGGTGTTACATTGTCATATATGCATGTAAAAAAAAAAAAAAAAAAAAAAAAAACTTCCAGCACTTTTTTTTTTTTTTTTTTTTGGACACACAAGGCTACTCCAACTTTATAGCTAACAATATTTTTACACACATCTTTTGTTTTTTATTTCAGGTCAAAGAAATTGAAAAGCGAGATGCTTGTCTTACTTCAAAACAACAGATTGACCGCCTCACTAGGCCTGGGTCTACTTACTTTAACCTGAACCCCTTTGATGTGAGTACACAAGAATATTTTAAAAACGAATCTTCTAGTTTTCTTTTAAGATATTTTTTCTTTTGTTAATGACAGGGCTGATGATATTGAAATGCAAGCAGTGATCAGATTTTGCCATCAATGTTTTTTACTCCTTGACTTTAATTAATCTTTGTAACTATTGTATTATTTGTAATATTTATTGCCTCAGTAGATAACACAATGGCTAACCATCTCATTTTGCCAACAAATTTATAAATGTAGTGAATTTGATCCTTACTGGGTGCTCCACTATTATGGCCTTGTGCCATAATAGTGGAGCTAAGCTAAATAATTAAGCCATCTTTCCAGGGAGTGAGTTATACTAAGCAAGCTAGTCTAGCAGAACATTACTACAGTGAACTGGATTGGAACAAAAGTTTGTAGCATTTCTCAATAGGTGGCATTTCATTTTGCACATAAATTTATGACATATGTACATCTTCTGAAAGGTGACATTTCAATTGTGAATTTTAAATGTTTTTACAATGTGAAAATTGAGGAAAATTAGATTATTTTTGTCAATTGAGGCTCTTTCATTTTTGGAAAGGGAAAAAACATGTACAAACAGTATAAAGATGTGTGGCATTTATGGAGATGGTGCCATAGCTGAGAGTACTGTTCAGAAGTGCAAATTTTGATCTGGAAGACCAAGTACATTATAGTAGGCCTGCAGTCATTAATGATGACTGAATCGACATGCTGGTTAAAAATAAATCCAGGTCACATGACACCAAACATCATATATCAAATAAGGGTCTTGTAAGGCATAGGAAAATAATTGCATACATGAATTGCAATGTTTTGGTGACTCACAATTTAATGGGTCAGGTTTCCATTTGTGAGTTTTCTACTTAAATGCAACAAATACAGTTTTTTTTTTTTTTTTTTTTTTTTTAAAAGAACAATCACAAACAATGAAAAGTGGATTGTTTTCAACAAGTGGATTGAAAAATACTATGGAGAAAGTGAAATGAGCCACCATTAACCACCCCACAAACCAGTCTGCATCCAAAGAAGATGATGCTATGTATCTGGTTGGATTGGAAGAGCATTGTGTATTAGGAGCTTTTTCTGAAAATTCAGACATTGAAATTAGACAATTATTCTTCCCAATTAGACTGGTTAAAGGCAGCAATCGATGAAAAATATGTGGAATTAGCCAATTGGAAGAGTATTATCTTCCATCAGTATAACACCAAAACTCATGTCTCTTTGCTGAGATGGTAGAAAGGGATTGCTTACAATGTTCTGGGGTGGGAAAGGTCCTGGGAAAATGAAATGAGTCACCATTAACCACTTCACAAACCAGTCTGCATCCAAAGAAGATGATGCTGTATATCTGGTTGGATTGGAAGAACATTGTGTATTACAAGTTTCTTCCACAATGAATTTAGACAAGTACTGTTCCCTAATCAATGAAAAGTGTCTAGAATTGGTTAATCAGAAGGGTGTTATCTTAAATCAGGACAACACCAGACCTTGCATCTTTTCTAGATGTAGTAGAAATTGGCTACACCTACCGTACTCACCTGACCTTGTATCTTTGGATTATCATTTATTTCAATCCCTACAAAAATCTATTAATGGGAAGAACTTTAATTTTCTTTGTTGGTAAAAATTACTTAGACCAGTTCATCACCCTGAAAGATGGTAAATTCTGAGAGGATAGAATCCTGAATCTACTTCAGATGGCAAAAGTTAGTGAAACAAAATGGCACATGTGATTGAATAAATTTATGTACAGATATCTAAATCAGGCATGAGCAACTTTTTCTAACCAGTGGGGTGCATCAGATATGGCTCTTCATAATGTGGGCCACACTACTAAAAAGATTCAAGGTGATTTTTCATTTTGTTAAATGTGTCTCAGCCATTTTCACTATAGAAGACAATACATGTAATTATCTGCTTTAGAAATAGAGGAAAGGTTGATTATTTTTTGGAGAAAAGGTTTCTCAACAATTAAAAAATGAAGTTTTGTTATGCAAGGCATCTCTAAAGTCTGTCCCTAAATATATATTTTCAATAAATTTTCAACATTTTATTGAATTAGAATATTAACAAATAACATCTTCGATATGATTTGTGATGCAAAGGTTGATGCACTTTTCAAGATTCACATGAATTCTATGCAATAATTCCACATTGCCATCAATTTTAGCACATTCACTCTTTGTGTTCAATCAAGTGTGTTGCATCTGTGATTTTGATTGAATACACCTTCTTCTTTAGCATACCCCAGAAAAAGAAGTCAATTCTTTCTACTTTCAACAAAACTGTGTTTAATCTGTGGAGGTAAAAAAAAGTATGTAGTTATTGAGATTTCCTATGTGTCCAGACTTTAGGGACACCCTCTAATATCTCGGATGACAGTGTTTAGCAAACACTGCTATATGTGATTTGCTTTTTATTTATTCATTTAAAAATACAAAATAATTTTCAAACTAAAAATATATTTCTTCTCTAGAGAAAAAAGTATTAATGTCCTGTTTCTAAAACAAAAGATGCTTACATGCACGATCTTCTTTGAAGATGGCCAATGGTTTAAAATGATGAAAATGTTACCTTTGAGGAAAAGTTACAAAATTCAAGAAACATATTTAATTGTTGTTTATGTATGTGGTGATGTATGAGAAACTGTGAATGAACAAGTGAGAATGAAAAAAAAAATTTAATAAATGTTATTTTCCTCATGAAATTTGGCATGCCATTCAGAAAGCCAAATCGGCTGTAGTTTGCCCATAACTGATCTAAATATTGTTTTTGAAATTCACTTAAAAATGCTACAAACTTTTGTTCTAACCTAATTGTAAATTTGATCTTAAGTGGTCTATAATTATGACCTTGAGACAGACTTAAGTAAATACCTATACTTGAGCAGTATTTTTAACACTGCTGCCATTTCATTTATAGTTCATGTTCCCTTCATTTCTTAGGTTAAATGAAACTTCTAGCTACTCTAAAGTCATCTGCACCAGCAACCAAAATAAAAGAAAATCCCTTGAAATAAATTCAAGATACTTTAAATCAAAAAGAGAATAAATTTTATCTTATTTTCTGAATTGCTTAATTTTATGAAGAACTAAGTTTATAGCTTTTATTGTTTTCCCCATCAACATGTCTACATCTTCAGTAGTACTGTGACAGAATCTTGCATTCATAGTTCTTTTGTTGCCATGGTTTCAGTGTTTATTCTCCATTGTTACAAAATATGAAAAAAAAAAAGTAAAAACTATCTTTGAAAAATAAAATTGCAAGAATTGATTAGACATGTTAATGGAACAGATTGTAAAAGCAAAGTAAAATTTCCCTGTAAATAAAGTTGATCATATTGCTTACACAAATGAATGAAGCAAAAACTAAATTCAGAATAAGGTTAGATTTGGAACTTGTTAATTGTAAAAGAATATTGAAAATTTAATGGCTGTATAATTTCTCTGTTTTACTATTTTGTTTCAGGTTTAATTGACTTTCGTAAAATGTTCTTTCAATCAATTGTGACTAGTCATTTGTTGTAAACAACCTTTCATTGAAACTCTACCTTTTGGCATCAACTAGTTTCTTTAGTTAAGTGAAATATGACAGGTCATTTTATGATATGACCCATTGTGCTTGAGAAATAAAAAATTTAGTTTTTCCTATTAAATTCGAGTAATCATTGAATCTTATGTTACCATAAAGTACACATGAGGAAGGAATGCAGAAAAAGTTCTTAGCCTGGTCCACTTATCAAAATTTAATCAAATATCGTTTTTTTTTTTTTTTTTTTTTTTTCTTTTTTTTGGTTGGGCTGAGAAATTTTTATCACCTCCCGCCTTGTATAAGGTCTTTCACAATTTATGTGGAAGGAAGGCTGTTTGCTTAAGTGATTATACTCAATTAGACCATATTCAAATAATTTTACAATTAGTTCTCAGATGTTTAGTGCATTTTATACACTTTGCATTTTTCCTAAATAAATGCTTTTGTATGCAAGCAGGTATGAAATTTATGTTAAATGGTTTCAGAAATCCTGCATAAATCCTGATTGGGTGAGCCTGCCAATGTACTTGATCTCTGGTAAACAGAAAGAAATAGGCAATTGATTCTTTTTTTGCTATATATCTTGTATATCTTGTTTGTACTTGGCGGTTGGGAGGGGGTGGTAATTTATTTCAAAATATTAGCATACATGATTTTTTTTTTTTTTTTTTTTTTTTTTAATGATTGTTTTTAAATTGTTTTTTGCAGGTACTACAAATTGATCCTGATTTACCAATGTCTGAAGTTAAGAAAAAATACAGACAAGTAAGGCAGTGCTTGGAGAATTACCTCCATCTTTTTTTTTCCTTCTCACTTTGTATTGTATTTCTTTTTAATAATGTTCTTACCAGGTTTTTTTTTCTCTCATCTCTTTCATTTGAACATCTTTTCAAGTTAGGACCCTGAAATCATCTATACTTGTCTCAACCCACTATTTAGCCTTGATAATCTTCTCTATAATTAATAAATATCATTTAGTTTTTTATTATCTGCGTTTTTAGTGGGTGCCAAATACTATTTTCTAGTGAATTTCTTCTAGATTTCCAATTTTAACCAAAGATGTTTTGTTCCATTAGAACTTAGATTATTAATTTTCTTGTAGTGTTTTTTTTTTTTTTTTTAAGTTTGCAAATATTTAAGTATACATTATGTCACTTTTATATTTTGTTGCATGTATCAAATGAATCCTTATTCAAATAAAAAACAAAAAACAAAACAAGGATACTACTCTTTTTGTTTTATGCCCCATTCATCTAGAAATACCTGCAAAACAATAATCACATACTCATATATTTTATAATTAAGGTAAATGTTTCATTTGATTTCTGTCTTTGCAATACTACCTTGGTCCAACCAAATATATTTTTGTGATTAAACTATTCAGACTAATATATCTGAAAATGTTATGCTTCTAATTTTAGATAGTGGGAGGGAAACAGTAATTATTATATTTATAATATCCCTATGGCCACCTACTGTGGGGGAAATCATGAATCGAAAGAGACCTGATTGCCCAAGTGTGTATTATATATGGCACATGACTGATTCCAGTGGTGTTATCTTTAATATCTGCTAACAGACATTTAATTATAAGCATGAGCATATTTGTTTAATAAATCCAACACATGATAGCAGGAATTACATAGACAGCCAATAATTAAAAAATGACGTATTTAGATTTAAAAACATTGGTTCTAAACTACAAATACAATTCCATTAGAAATTTGTAAATCACAAATAATTTAGCAGATTACTATTTATAGAATTTCTTATACATTGTTGATTTAAAAATATTTAAATTTGTGTACTGGAATAGAGTGAGAAAAGCAGCTTGATCTTCACAAAATTTTGTAGATATGTTCATAGTATGATTCAATTTGACATTTTAAATACTATTTTCTTTCTATTTTCACAAGTGAACCTAAGATTTTTTAAAATTTATTTTCATATATATATATATATATATATATATATATATATATATATATATATATAAAACTAAAATAACAGAATATACTGAAGATATATATGTGAGGTGTTATGCAACAAAAGTTGCAAAATGTGTGCATCTCCTTATTCAGTGTCTTTCATTTTTGTTCTTATGAATTTTGGTCTTTGCACTTTTGTCTATTTTCTTCAATATTGAAAAATTCTCTCAACATAACTAAATAAAAAAGGCTTTTTGCAATATGACCTAATTAGAAGAATGATCATAAATTTCTTTAGGATTTTTATCCTTCTGCACTTGAATGTTCTTATCTCAATTTGTTTTGTTTTTTTTTCTTTATACTATAAAAAAAAACTTTTTGTAAGTTAAAAGTAGGACATTGTTCGCATATCTTCTCTTCCTTCCCTTGCACCACCTTCTCAGCCCTCACCTTGCTTTCTCTCTCTCTCTTTCTCTCTCACACCAGGGATTTGTTGGTTTTGCTCTTTTTCAGATGGTTGATGGTGTGGCCAGTAGATAAATAGAAGCTGTGCTGGTTTGGTGCTGACCAACCTTTTTGTAAGTCGATGGAACCAAGCGCATTAAAAAGACTGCTGCCTGCTTGACATTTCTCTCCTTCACCTCTGGTTGGGAGATGATCTTCCTAGTGACCATGGTTTTGGGGACCATCCTGATAGCCTCTGTTGACTGGGACATTCTCTCTCTCTCTCTCTCTCTCGTCTATGCTAATTAGTCTTCCAATATAATTTATTTAATTTTTTTTTTTTTTTTTTAATAAGTTTAGAATTTTAATTGCTGATAATGAATAATATAGCTTTAATGTGGACCATAAATATGCATATTTATTTTTCATATTGCAAAAAAGCCATTTTTGTTGTTGTTCATGCATTTGTTGGTTCTCTTAGTGGTTGATCTGAGTTTCAATGGCAGAGTGAAGTTTCCTGTGCTAAAATGTTTACATTGCCATAAACCTATTGTAATATAAAGGGTCTGAGGTGGTAATTTTGAATCTGGATGACTGTTAACAAAATGTCAATTTTGGATAAGGAGAAATTTATTAAACTATGTCATTTGATAAACCCCAAACTATCAAATTCAATTTTCAAAAATTTCTCTAGTTATTTAAAGATAAGTTGCTCCTGGCAGATATTTATGAAGTTGTTTGGCTGTTGGGTTCAATGCAACCCAGGCTATACAAGTTTCCTGATACCTATAAAGTAAATATTCTGGTCAAACCCATTTTGTCAATGATTGGATCTGTCCAGCATAAATTGGACAGATAGTTGGCCAAGTTATGACAAATGTATATAAAATGTATTAAGGATTCGTTTACTCTTGTAAATTATATTCAAAACAGTCCTTTCCCTTCCAAGATACTGCATGTGTTCATTTGACATCAATTTATTTGTGTTCCTCTGCAAGGGGTATGTGCTGTTGTTTTGTATCATAGTTGTCTCTTACCCCCTCCCTCCCCATTTTGGAAACTGTTTTCATTGAATTAAACAATTTTGTTACTATGTCTGTGGCATGTTATTTTAATGATATAATGTACAGACAAATTGACTGAATAGTTGTGGGTAGCCCTTCAGTGAATTTTTTAATTTCATCATGTTGATTGAAAATGTGATTTTTATGTTATTTACATTTGAGTCTTTAAAGAAGCATCCTGAAATTTTTATTGTAGTAGTTAAAACAAGAATCTTGTAAGCTGAATATCGCAAATTCATTCCTTTGTTTTTACTGAAAACAGCATAATTTAGCACACAAGTCTGTTTTATTTATTTTTTATTTTTTTTTAAGTATCCACATCTCTGAAATATTTGAATATTTTGAATTTTCACAACTGAATTAACCATGGCAAATACTTTTTTTTTTTTTTTTTTCAACTTTGTTTTTCTGAAAATTAAAACCAATTATTACATTGAAGTCAGTAATTTAAAAAAAAAATTTACATCTTAATTGTTTTTCTACTTGAAACAATACCAGTTTAAAGTGAATAATGAGATTTTAAGGTTTTAAAACCTATAAACTTAATTTGTCTTCTTTGGCTTAAAATAAGACAATTTTAAATGTAAACCAAATGTCAGATTATTTTTCATCTATTAATGAATTGAATAAGATTTTCCCTTTTGGATTTGCAGTAATCTTAAGTTTTATTTTCGATCTTATTTTTAATTCCTTGTCTCTTTTTGATGCAACACTACTGATAATTTCAAGTTGCAAGGCTGGAAAATTCTTAAAACAATTTGTGGTTGTTTATATAAAATTTACTATATTCATTTTTACAATTGAAAACCTGGATATGGTAGAGAAATGAAAGTTAACAATGCTTGACAGTAATGAAAAAAATAAAAACTAGTTCAAATATTTGTTTTGCAAATTATGGTAAATCAATAATTTCATAGCTTAATGAAAAACAATCATTTGTCACAACAGATACTTTATGCTGTGATAGTTATTACATCTACATACACATTTCATAATTAATGCCGCAGGGAACAGAGATAGTGTTTATTTTTGTATATAATTTTTACATAACCCAATGCTTCTATAACTTCAACAACCCAGAACTCCATATCTTGATCCTTTAGGAATGATTGTATAGCATCTATGCTAGCAGCAGCATCAAAGTCACTCACAGGTTTTCTTTCATCAGAGGTAAAAAAAAAATGATCTCTGGACCAAACCAGAAGAATATATCAGGTGAAGTAATAATTCAAAACTGCATTGAACTATTGTTGCCATTAAAAGCTGTGCAACTTGTATAGGTGCATTGTTCTGGAGTAGCAGAATGCTTCTTGAAAACTTCCCATGCCATTTTATTTTCTTCAGTTCTTATTGTGATCTGCTCAGTTCTTTTAGAGTAGTACCCTCTGTTGACTGAATGCCTCCTTCAAGAATTCAGTCACAATAACTCTGAGTTCCAGAAGATGGTGGCCATAAGTATCCATGTCAAAATGTTTGTCTGGACCTTTTTGAGAGACCAATATCCTGAGTGCTTCTACTGTCTGCCCTGTCTCTTTGTTGGCCAAAATAATGAACCCAGGTCTTGACACAGTGATCAACCTGCAATGAGCCAGATTTTCTTCATATGTAATTACTTGGTACTTTGAGGAACTCAGTCAGCTAACATCCCAACTTCTCAATAATGACAGTTTGGATTGTTCCATATATAATTAAAAGCTTCCTATTGTTCTTGGAGATTTAGAGAGATGTTACACAATGAGCCAGAATAAATTTGCAGACCATATTGAACACTTATCTACTATGTGTAGAATTGAAACTCCACTTAGATGTCTTGAGCTTGATGCGACATCTCTGCTGGTGTGGCCATAGATGAATTCAGCAGACCATCTCTTGACCATTACATTAGAGAGGACATTAAGAGCAAGTGTTCTAACAAGCTGCTTCTCTCTTTGATACCATTTAATTTTGAGATATTAGATAACAGCCTGAATCTCTGAAAACACCACTGGTTACACAAGTCATCAGAATCTGAAATTTAAAAGAAAAATTTATACTATATGGGACTTCAGACTTAGATGCATCTTTGTGTGTGTGATATATATATATATATATATATATATATATATATATATATATATATATAATGAAATGGATTAATTCCAACAATTATCTTAATATATTTTCTGTTTATACATTATTTTTATAGATATAATTTAAGTAAATGCTCTGTTCCCTCATTTTTTAAATTTTTTTTAATGGTATTAATTATATTTACCGGTCTGAATGTCCAAGAAATTTTGTAGAAAATATGTGCTTCTCTCTCTCTCTCTCTCTCTCTTATTATATATAT